GAGATATTGTGAAAGTATGGTAGCATTATTTTAATGCACGCGGTGGAAAGATCCACGAGCAAATAACCTTCTTAATCTATGGGGAACTTGAGAAGTAGATGATAAATATTGATGGTACAAGAAGTAGGACCACGAGTAACTTTCCTCTCTAACCAATCTTCCGTTCTGTTATATGTTTCTGCACGGTCCAGCGATCTTACACGAGAATACTAAAAAAAAAATGAACAACAAAAAAATGAAGAAAAGTCCATACCGTCTTGGAAACTAGAGCGAAACAGATCGATCTGCTCCTGTTACTTTCAATCTCGATTTTACGCGTTCAATAGACGACAGCTAAATTCGTGCCGTGTAAAATAAATAGATTATTCCGTGTAAGGAGAACAAATATTTCATAGCTGGACTTTCTCTTAATATTTTAATTAACATTGAAATTCAAAAGGACAACTTCTATGTCGATATCGCCTTTGATTAAAGAGCAACTTTTCATTTCTACATGGAGTCATTGAAGAGGATTAAATGGAATAAAGTGGAGTACTTTAGTTTTTAATTACTCACACCTTATAGAATATCAGAGTGGTTGTATCGAGGTACGGATTTAGTTCATGGTATATTTTATTCGCCTTTTAATTCTTTTATTCGAAACTGAAGTGAGAAATATTCTGTTTTCTTTTTCGTACTGTTAATAAGGTTTATATTTGTTCTCATCGCAAGTAGGAGCAAGTAATGTGTACATACTCCTTACATTTATATTAATACATTGTCTTAAAGCTGTTAACATTTTACGTGCTAATTACGGTTTCAAAATGATAATATGACCAACAATAATCACGAACGAAAATGCTGAGAAGATATCAAGATGCATTCACGTGAAAATCAACTACCAATAATTCTCTACGTACAAATTTAAGAAGCACGTATCCGCACGTGGCTTGCGACGCTGAATTAAAAATATACTCGGTCGATATGGAAAAATCAGCCAGACAGAAATACTTTTGTAATCGAATTCTGGAGCGACCAGCGGTCTATCGTGGCCATCGACTCCAGATGCCCACTTGACGAAATCTGGAAAAACGAAAATCGAAGACGCGGCTGCTGATCGCAGCACTCGAATCTCGTCCATTCGGTGACCCGATTGGCCAGTCCCCGAGGGTTTACATAATACGCTCGACGGTGTCCTGTTATGGAATCTATCGATCACTGTACCAGTATAAGGAGATACGAGGACCAGTTGTCATCTCGCCTCTGATCCTGTCCCTGTTCTGGCCATGGACCCGTTATTCAACCATGAACCCGATTCACAACCCCCTTACATGAGATTAATACAAACTTCGCCGCACGACGTTATCATCTTTTTAGACGTCAGATTTTCTCCTGCGATACGTTACGATCGCGATATCTTATTCGTACTCGGCCACGGCAACGTCAATGATTAACGCATTCAGGGTGCGGAACGTTTCTCCGTCATTTTATTGCCACCGACCGACGGCGGTATATCACTGCTTATACTTGTAATAGCTATAGGAGTGTTCCATAGAATCATTGGCGCATTGTACCTCCATGGAGGAGAAAATGGAACTTTAGGGATCGAGCACAATTCATTGTAATAACACTACTGATGGAACTTCTTTGGTAACGATATAAACTGTTTCCTCTGCGACTAAGGGTGTGACAACGTTTCAAGTAGGGTTCTTCTGCTACTGAAGTCACCGAAGAAGATGAGGATATTCCAAAAATTATAATTTGAAGACCCCCCACCCCCACACTCTGAAAACATTCACCGTTGTTATTTTAACGCCTCGCTCTTATTCTTGAGGGAAACAGCGAAATTAATCAAGGAACTTCGAAAATGTTAATTAAGATAGCGGCACGTTGCATAAATCCGACATCTAATTAATCAGGAAGCAAATTAAAAATGTTTCGCCAAACGGTTCAAGACAGAAAGAAAAAAAATGAGCTTTCGCGTCGAGCCGCTGGTAACAGAGGCTGATTCCTCGGAAACCGCAATTCGAATAAACCCAATTATCGCCGTAGTTCCATGGTTTCCTTCCTTTCCGGAGCAGAACGGTATCCGATTAATCGATAAATTAAATTCCACGGTGCGGAAGGAACGGCTAACGGGAAATAATCAGAGTTTCGATCGTGGCACGTGGGAAGGAACATTTCCGTCCGCCATTCACTACTCTATGACAGGAGCCGTGTTTACGTAACGGATGCATCGTATTTTCAACATTGATAATTATAATTAAGTAGCGATAATTTGATAATCATCGCTTTTAGAAACGAGCCAGTCGGCGAGCTCTGATTCCATTGATCAAATTGATTTCTGTACTAATCCTTACTGTACCTTACTGTACCTTACTGAAAGCAAGTTAAAGAATTAACAAACACTATTGTGTTTCCAAAGAGAATTTTTTACTCGACTCAATAAGCCTCGAAGGAAGCGACAATGGCATTCATTGTCGCCCGTTTCTCACTTCGTCCAATAAAAGAAAGGAAGCTCGGGCGCGAATTGACGTCTTCTAATTATCAATGAGCACGAAGGTTCTGGGTGCAGTCACTAGGACGTAAAGCCACACCTAAACGATCGTACCTTGGTGGCCCACAAATGATTCGACTGTAATTATTCACCTGGGCTTGCCTTGCATTTACCTAATTTATTGTTAGGCAATGTCCACCGAGTTTTCGCATTATTTGCAAATTTCCAGTCTCACAGAAGTTACCTTCGCGCGCTAAGTGGTGTTTTAATGAGATTGCAATGATTATGCTGCTGATTGTATGCATTTATGGCGCACGATGATTCGGGAAACGTATGCAAAGTGTATCTAGAGTGTGTTTCATAAATGCTGATAGATATTCATTGATCAGACACTAATAACTTTTAACAAATTAGTGTTTCATTTTACGCACATGTATACATATATTAAAGCATTATATTTTTTTTAAATATATATAAATAGTCATATAAACATATGTGGGAACTTAAACATTAATATTGTTCAGCATTATTGGTATGGATATAATATTTACACATTCAAAATATTCAAAAATATATATATCATAAATACAATATTTTGAAAGTATAAATACTATATGCATACACATATATATATATATATATATATATATTGTAGATGTCACCAATAATTTGAAACAATAGTAACGTTTCATTTTACACACGTACAAATGTTTACATATTTATATACACCATACATTCATACAATCTGCAGTCCAATAATGATCCACACGAGAGGATAGGAAAAGCATCAATGAATTTCTGTGTGACCAGATCTTCTCATTCATCGTTGGATACAAAAGGAACATGGTTTGTTAAAAATATTCATCTTCATCTCGTATGTATAGATACAAACGTAATTACGAAATGTACTGCAGTCCCTCAAACGATTACTACATCCATTTTACAGTCAGAATAAATGGCATCGACGATACAACCTACCATAACTGGGCAAACTTATCATCATAATTCCCTTTCGTATTGCAACGATCAAACGGATGCGAGCACCTCCAATTTTATTGTTTCACCAGCGAAAGTAAAATCCTACGTCAGGCCTACACACCGTGCGCGACGTCTCCATTTCAAAGTAATCGTATTCCGGACGGCCAATTTCAGCAAGACAAAGTGGGCGATATTTCGAACGGCCTATCCACCTCTTGACAGAAATTACACCACTTGAAACAGGAGTTTATTTGCATACGCGATGGTATTAGTAGCGAAAACGATCCGTTCCGAGAAGTGGAAATAAAATAGCATTAAACCAAGAAGGAAATAACGGTAGACATATAAGACGCGGATAGTTCCACAACGCGGTTAATTTAACACGAATTTATTCACTCTCGCTTTTCATTGGTCGATGTCAGACGTTCTCTTAGGAAAATCATAAAATAAAATGGAAGAATGATTGTTTACGATTTTACAAATATTGTCAAATTAACCTCATTATTAACCTCGATTTTTACGAAAACGGGGGCCTATCTAAAAATAAAAAACGCCGGAACAAATATTTTTTGATAAAAAAGGTCGGTACCGAAGTGCATCAAAATCGGTAACCCACAATTCGTGCCCTTCCCTTGTAAGCCATCGTCGTTAATAACCGCTTAGGTGTGGTCCATGTAACGTTGAACATCTAAAGCCATCTGTTTAAACTTATCCACGCCATCTGCGAATTCGCGATTGAGAGACAAACGAGTTCGGAAATTATTGGTTCGTATTATTCGCGCTCCGTAAGACGGTACCGTTAACGCGAAGTATCAAGAAGACGTGTCGTCCCATTTACCTGCCAGTTAATCAAGCTTTAATAAGGACGTACGATCAAACCGTTTAATAAACATTAATACATAGTAGTTGATCGTTCGATCACGTCGGCGTGTATCAAAGGTTTCATCGATCCCTGGCGTTACAGATTCGCGTTTACAGGGCCGTTCGCGCTCGAATAAGAATAATAAATCGTAACTACCGTCTGTTATCAAAACAACGTACGAAACAAGATGTGACCGCGGTGCACGGACATCCAACAGAAAAAGACAAACGAGGTCGCAGGATGCAGCTGATTGGCGATTCGCGACGTATTGCAGCATAAAGATTTTCGTATCAGTGTGTGGCAATTCACGTACAGCGCTATGCAACAATGGTTGCCTCTCGAATGATTATAAACAGGCGTCGAGTGAGGTTTGAGTGGAGTGATTTTATGTGAAATTTTAATGTTAAAATTTTAATACTTTATCTGCTGACAATCTATTAATAGGATTTTTAATTTCAGTGTTTAGCTTCTATACATATAGAATTTAGGCACTGTGTTGTTGGTAGAAAATTCTTCTCTAAATTGTAGACTGTCTCTAAATGAGCCGGTAGATAAAGTGTTATGGTGACCAATAGAATTGATTTTGAAAATTTTATGAAACTTAGGAATTAGAAATTTTTAGTATTTAGTTATTATTAGAAGTAGGGTATATATATTAGTATCTAATATTATCATCATACTTACTAATTCATGAGACTGTCTAAGGTGGTACTGCCTTACCTGAAACATAAGAAAAATATTTAATAAGGATCAATGTTTCTAGAGGAATATTCTACTTGTGAATGAAACAATGCTTAATAAAAACTGTAAAAGAAATCGAATAATAATTATTATATAAACCTGTCGTTTTTCTGTTTTGTCACGGGTACTGTATTGTAATAAATAATTTCAAATTGTTATCAGAACAGTTGATGTATACTGTATTACTGTCAATGTATTTTGATCAACTATGGAACGAATATAGAGCATACTCGCATCAGGGTCCAAAACATCTTGATTTAAATAACCAGTTTAATACGTTGATACAAGCATTCCAGCCTTATACGTATAACGAAGATATTCATTAAACAAAACTAATAAAATGCGAAGTGAGTTGAGTCACTGATCTCGCTTACATCCAAATTGAAAGTAACGCAATCAGGTTTCTAGTGGCGCAACTTCTTCCTTAAAGACGAGTTTAATTGCGAATCTTTTTAATCACACCTTTACCGAAAGAAGAAACTACAACTTTAACAAGTTGCTTCTCGAACTTCGCGTCTTCGAGGTTCGCATACAAAATATTCTAACTTTTCAAATAAAATAAAATGAACTTTCTCTACTTTTATATTGTTCGTGTGTGACAGAGGAAAACATGTTCGTGGGTTCTGTAATTTAATAAATGTCACCGAAACGAAGTTGATTGCACGGTGCCAGACCGTACCATTGTCATTGTCATCGACGTCGACCCATTTTTCTTCGATCACTGGCCTGTTAATAAATCTTCTGCTATACAATGGGCTGTTCGAAAATGCCTCGACATGAAATCGTTCGTGACTTTCCTTCGTGAACGCAGTCGCCGCGTTTATTCGACAAAACAAAAAATAAACTGAAAAATCAAGACGGGAATAAATCTAAAGAAAAATGTACCGCCCACCTGTAACGACGTCATGTACGACTATAAAACGTGTTTATCAACGAAAAAAATATAATATCAGCGAAATATCAACGAAAAAAAAGTACAAGTAACCTAACTTCACATTCGTACCTAATTATTTTTCTTTTAATTGGAACCTTGCACAAGTTCGGATTAATTCACGTACATATACTTAGAAAAAGAAAGTATTCTCTCTGTTATCTGTTGATACGTACTCGCGAATGTAATTATACGTATAAAAGTTGTTTATATAAGCACTCGAATGAAAATATGCCTCTGACATTAGATTTGTGAATCAACGATAATTTACTCCAACTTAAAACAGAAACTCGTACAGTCTCGCGTGTTTCCTCGCGAGCTTCACGCTTATCGAACATGAGCTTGCCATTCATAAATGGCAGTGCGCAAAGTACATTGACCTGAACGTGTGCCTTAATCGTATATAACGAATCTCTTTATTGTATTTACATCTACTTACATATCTTTAGAGTATTTGCACTATTTTGTGCTAACTATTGCAAATTTTATAGTACATATGTTAATTCCACTATTATCACTACTAATGGAAAAAGATAAATTGATATAATTGATAATTGATTATCACAATTGACAATACCTAATTTTAATAAAAAAAAAATAATAATGCTAGGTGTTTTCTTATTGGCTGGCATTCATATTCGAGATATGAAAACACGCTTAAATTTCTGAATGAGATTTATTTAAATATTCGGTTGCGAGGAGTAATTTTGAGTGTTTGGTTTAAATTCTTAAAAATTAATGGAGACAGAAAAAAATAAAAATGAGACTTATATCTAAAATATATGTATATGTATAAGTACGAATGACCAATTCACTTCATCTCATGCACTTATTACAAAATCGATTTACATCATGATGAAAACACTATACACAGACGAGACTAATCGATCACTGATAAGCCTAGATAAAAATAGGTTAGAAACAATAATGAATTCTTCTTGACAGAAAGTTAACATTTTTCATTCGCGAGGAAATATGGACTTTCTACGAATAATGCCAGACTAATACACAGTTATTACCTAATTATCATATCTCTGGTGTGCAAATACTTAAGTGGATAGTTGACGTTCATTCAGAGATGCGGTGAAAACGCTGCAGGGAAATCATAGACTTCGAAGTGTTACAAGAGAAAATGCATAACACAAAAAGAACAGTTTAGAATATGTACAGTACGTGTTACTTTCAAAATCGTAATGTAATAAAAGTGTCTCTTAGAAAGGGAAACACCATCGATCACTACAATTCTAATATCTAAACGAACTATATAAAACTTTGTTAAAATTAATAGATATTTCGAAATGAAAATTACACCCCAGATTCAACGTAAACGGAATCTTCATTGAAGCAACTTTCTTCCATTATATCAACGAATCATTTTCAAATGAGATCGACTAGGAACGCCCACGCAGTATAATCAGACGAGAGGCGAGACAAGATTGAGTGAAATGCTCAGGGTGATTATCTGTCAGCTTGTGTAGCATATCTTCGAAGATGAACGAGGGAAAGCATCTTGCTTGGAACAAAATTTCAATGGTGCCCCGATAGCCTCGGATAAGGAGAAGAAATCGCACAGCGAGTGATAACACATTAACCTGAACGAGAAACCGAATAGAAGCGGAGGACTTTCTAGAAGAAAAAGTCGCGACCGAATTCGCGCCACGAGTTCCGCGAATCGCCATATTTTCACTGCGTTAACGAGCCAGCTAGCTTCCCCGATCCCGATGATGATGCATGTCCTGACAAATGGACGAACAATGACGCTACCTGTTTCTAACGCTTCCTGGGTTTCAGTGATTACGCAAGTTAACGACTTGCCGGCACTTGTAGCGCAGCATTGGACCTCGTTAACAAATTCGAACTCGAACACTAAAGGAACGAGCATGGTTTCGGGGATAACATAAACGAAAATAAGGTGGATTATTCTTATGACGAGTGAAGCAAAAGAGAAAAAGGTAAAAACGTAATAAAGGAAGTATTTCTACTTTGCTCTACATACCAGGAAGATTATCGACCTCGTTTTCGATTATTCGAGAACTATCGAAGGAAAAGAACACTTGTACGTGAACTGTTCACGTGACAAATTGGTGAGATCCCATTTTTTGAATTTTGTTAAATTTTAGTTTCGAAGCACTCGACTGAGTCGTAACATTTTGTATAATATGTGATAGAACACGGAGATTTACATCTCGGAATAAAAACTAGAATTCTGCGAATATTAATAAATATTTTCTGTGATGTTATCGATATTGTTGTACTATAAATGTCCATTGTATGATTTTCAAAGTTGCAGTATTGTTCGTTGGAAATGGTTCTTCTTCCGCTACAAGAAGCGACTGCTAAATTGCTATAATACCGTACATTCTCCATTCTAAATAGAATTACCTACCCGTAGAAATTAACGTCCCTTGCTACACCACTAATTACAAATAACTGTATCTAAAATTGACCGATTCCATTACAACAACAATCAAACGGCGTCAGAACCGAACTCAACCTGTTGTAACTGTAATTAGGACCTAACTTTTTAATAAAACACAATGCTATGTTAATTAAATTTAATTTATAACGGTAATTAAATTCTAAACCTCTTTTGAAAACCCTTTATTTGTGTAAAATAAGATTGATAGTTCATTTCGTACCTACTCTATTTTTATACAAGTTTTCAATCACCTAATTTAAATAAATCAAAAGTTAGCAATGTCGATAGCTTCCTCTTCAGTCTTTAAATTAAATTATTTCAACATTATTCGTTAGTTTAATCTCGATTCTGCGATTCTGCTTCAAGCAACATAACCCATTTGAAATTATAATGTTGATTTTAATTCGAAGAATGATATAATTTTATGTTACAGAACACATAATCCATAGATGAACGATACACAGTTATTGTTCTTTAATTAGCTTAGACACATAACTGTCTGACTATTGCGTAATTATTAGGAGAGGATTAAAGCTAGAATAAACAGGAAAATAATGCTATTATAAAAAGGATATTGAATTGTTCTTGAATAGTAATATATCCATGTGAAAATTCATATCGTGAGATGAAGTCGGGCGAAAGTCGAGTGAAAAAAAAAAGACTAAAGCAATAGACATCGAATGAGAACCAAAAGAACCGGCTTGCAGTAAGCTTGGTGAGAAATCATAGACACGGATGAAAAATCACAATCCACTCGATTCCCATAAAAAATTCTCTAATATAAATCGAGGCTCACAATGTTCATTTGTCTTCTATATATATATATATATATGATCGAACGTGTCAAACGTTCAATTCTCACACGCAATGCCACCAAAAACAGAGTAATTACTGTAATTACGAAAGACGGATTCCCTATTTCCACGTGTCACCCAGCTCGCATCTGTATCTCAATAGAAAAGAAACGTCCACGAGAAACAGGAAAAGGGAAACGTGGCAAAGAAATGTTCCCAGTGAAATCGCGATTACATAAAACTAGGCAAAACGGCTAATATTCATAATCCGCGGGAGTGTATTTTCCACGAATCACAGACGAGCGATCTAACGAGGAAGTGCGCCGTGTGGGCATCGGCTCGCGTAGACAAACTCTCGGTAAACAGGTGTTCTGAAAACGTAGCAGATGGTGGATGATGGGAACCAAGTCGGAGCAAGTGAAATCGCGTCAAGACACATCGGTTACAGGGAGATTCCTGTGATCGAGAATGTAATCCAAGTTTCCTGCCTTACGGTCGAATCGTCCTATGTATTTACTTCAGCGAGAAATTAATGATTTTTCATCGACATGAATTTATCGGGGTGCAAATTGACTACAACATTTTTTACATTAATTTAATATTTACTTTACATTACTTTGCATTTGCTTAGATGTCTCTCTTTATACTTCTCCCATTAGGGATGCCATTTTCAATTTGTGAAAATAACCTGAATGAAAAGTAATAGTTTATTTTAACGATGATGATCCAACAATAGTAATCACACGAAGAAACGTCGAGAACCACTGTGATAAGGCGATAATGAAATAAAGATAAGCTACCCAATGTTACTGATTGAGAAATATGATTCATTATT